ATTTACAGAAACATAACAATCATAGTATACCAAATAAATTGTAAATATTAAATTGTAAATAAAATTCTCATTTGAAAGATAAAACCCAAGGTCACTCTGAAACACGACTGAACCAGAAAAATTGCCATTAATCTAAAGTGTATTTTCCCAATACTCAGCTCCTTTTATTTGCCTGCAGAAAAATGTTAATGGGAATACATGTCTAACGTGTTACCTGAAAACTAAGAGCAAGGTTAGGCTTTATAAGTACTAGTAATCTCTGGTTTTGCCACAAACTTTGGCCACGTCTGGCTAATGCGAACAGTAACTGTACTAGTGTAAATGCAGTACAGTTTTTTTGGTATCTCCAAACTCTGAAGACCAACATCTCATGAAAACAAGCTGCTCAGCAAGGAGGTTCACTGCAGAAGGAGACAGACCTGTGACAGAGTCACCCCAGATACTGCTGCACCCTCAGAAGTGGCGGCTGCTCCCTTTAGAGTATTGGCAAATGTGGTGTTTTGAGTCTGCTAACCTCCCCGTCATGCAAGACAGTTTGCATGTTGCCCAGTCTCTGGTGTTTCACCCCAAGGGCTACTTTTTATGACACCAACTCTGCATTGCTCACCTCCTTCCACACGAGCAATATGAGATGTATACCTTAATGTCTTACCTATACAAAAGAAAGAAATCACTATGTGATGATGGAGAAAAAATGTGGTGAAGGAAAAGGACTGATTTTTCTTACAGCCAAGTAAAAGTAATTAGGGAAAAATTGGGAAACAGTTAACATCAGTAGTCCTGGCAAGGGTTTGGTGTATGCCTTTGTGTATTGCCTACCTACTACATTTCTCCCAAGCACCTCTGCAAACCTCCCAAGGTTGCAGTGCTGCATCTAGTAAACACTGTCAAGATTCTTCAAGTGGTTCCGTATTGAAAACAGACTATATAATTAATACCGCATGAAAGCGTTCTCACATTTGCAAACTACTGACAAAATCAAAGCACTAGAAAACCGAACAGCTCAATCTATGTATTATGTATGCACAGCATGAGAAACTAGGAAAATCATGCTTTTTGTGCAAAACAAAAAGATGTATTAGTCTAATTCTCCTCATGTTTTGAGTGTTTGGGGCTACTTGGCATTTTAAAAATCAGTGAGTCTATAATTTTATGTGTTTTGCTACTGGAATGCAGTTTTCAAACTGGATAAAAACTCTAGTGCTAAAGCAATTTTGACATTACTGTCCATTTAAAAAACAAATCCTTATAAATTCAGGATAACAGAATGGTTCATGGATCTATGACATACAGCTCAGTAGAGAAGCTGAAAAAGTCTGAGTTTTCTTTACATACCTAAGTAAATTCACAGTATCTCATGCTTTGTTTTAAGGGTTGGACCCAAGGTTCAAGTCATGTGCAAAATGAGCACCAGGATGAGCATCCCATGAAAATACATCAAAGTTTAATTGTGCCCTAATAGATTTGCTCACTCTTGATGACTTTGTTCTCTTTACTCATTTCAAAGCGCATAACAAATGTAAATAATCCCTAGACACAGGATGGAGAGGAGTAATATATGAGACAGAGGGCCAAGACCACAAGAGAGGCAGCCCATTTTCAGTGTGGAAAGGGGAACAGCATGGACAATGGGAAAAAGTTGAATGAAGACCCATGGAAAATGCCTGGGGAATTAGACCATCAGCTCCAGCTTCAGCCTTGAGGGAGGACTATTGCTTCTGCTGCAGAGGGCTCCTACGCTTATGGGCAGTAGTCACTGCCTCACTCATCTTCATTTCTTCTTAGGCAGGAAGAGCCCAGGATTCACCCATTTCCACTTTCTCTCCCAGTTGTTGCCTTGGGAAAACAATGACTCACAAGCTGGGAGCATTCACTCACTTCTCCCTGGCAGGCGCCAAGAACCAAGTTCCCAGCTTGGTCATATAAAGGCAGGTTCAACTCTCCGGGAGTTCCTGGATGGTTTTACTGTATTCTCACTTCGCTTGCTTATAAAGCAAACAGCAAAACCAAAATACGTCAGACCTTCAAATCTGGGTCTGGAAGGTAACTGCAATTATCTTGAAACAGATTAATGGCAAAAGAAAGAGAAACTCATGGGCTAAGATGTTTAATGTGTTTCCATAGTGAGCTCATTTGGCCCTAAACAATTAAGAGGAGTCTGTCCTTTAAAAATAAGGTCTGAGAAAGACTGCAACAAAGAGGATGGATATGCAAGTAATGTTTTGTCTTGGCCCATGAGAAGCAAAAAGCTACAGTTATGCTGTAAGATGTCTTGGGATCACCAGACAGAAATTATTACCAGAAAATGGACAACTGAACAGGACAATTGTGGTGTGTCTGAGAGGAAATTTCATGCTCAAAAACATTTCAGGACGCATACCTTCAAGAATACTGTCCTCTGTCTGCAAAAAAGTCACAGCTCAGGGAGTGTCAATAAACTTCTTTACCAAGAACGTCTTTTGTCTGTGAGAAGACATCTTATTCCTCATGCATGTTTACATCATGACACCTTCAAAATGACAATCAATGGCAATTAAAAGGTCACTGATAATTTTTTTTATGGAAGTCTAAAAACCCAATTAGCTTTTCTACAACTGTTGCTTTTGCCTTAACCTAAAGCTGCCCCCAATGTCAATAACAAAACCAGTTTCAGTAGGGTCAGAGCTGGCCCTTAGGAAGGTCCACCCAACATCTAATAAAACACTAAATCAAATAATCTGTTTCTTTACTGTAATAGTTAAAAAATGTGCAGAAACAAATGTACAAAAAGTCTTCTATACTTCAGGCATTTTCAGGACTACTTGTCTTAAAGAATATCCAGTGTCTATTCAATAACTTCAGTAAGACCTTTCTGTCTGAATTTTTAAGATAAATTATATATTTGATGCCAACGTCACAAGCACAGGAAGCACATATGCATACCACTCACGAATCTAAACCAATAGTGTTATGAGCATTCACAGGAACAGAATAAAAATATCACCAAATGCCTTCTCTCCACGACTTCTGAAAGACAGCTTTACTTACACTCAGCAGGTGATGATGAAGTCTTTTGCCTGATCATGGTATGCTGCTGTGTGTAAGCCTTCAGGGACTTACTAAGAGGTGCTTACTGCTGTGCTAAAGGATCTTAATTTACTTAAAATTTGGGGCATAAAAGTCTTTTCCTTTACATTTTCTTGAATTCTAAGCTGCATATTGAAGTTCATGGCTATTAGAATGACTCATTGTATATATCCATGGATACCTCCACAAAGGAGCACAAAATACTCTGTACAAAGTTTTTCTTCTTCATTTCCTACGTTTTTATTTCTCTTTACATTTTCAGAAAAAGAGTACACAAGATACACATTCTATTCCATTACTCAAAGATTAGCCTTTCTCTGTAAAACACAAATCTTGATTTTACAAAGCCCAAGAAATGAATTTTGACTTAGAGTGCTGAAGAGGCTTCCAGGGGAAGGCTTCACTCCCTGAACACCTAGGATAGGAATACTATATAATATAGAGAGGTGCAGCAAACTGCACTAAAACCCCTCTAATAAGGCTTGTTCTTGTCCACAAATTCCTGCACACACTTGTCTTATTTCTCACCTTTGCTTTTCCATTTTAGATCATGAAACCCTGCACAGACTTGAGATGTCAAGCATGCATCATAAGAACTTTCATGGGTTTCTGCCATGCCCTTCATTGCGGTCAAATCATGGCTGAGGTGGTCAAAAATTTGGAAAGAAGGGCCTCATAATAAGATACAGTAAGCTGAAAAGAAGCACAAATACTTTTTCAGCTAGAGATCTAGAGAAGCTGGGTCTGTCTGTTTTAATGTAGATTTTGACCTCTTTAGACTCTTATAAGCTATCAGTGCTGTTAGGCCAAGCCTGAAGAAAGCATTTGAGCTTGTTTTTCAGAAGCTGGCAGAAAACAAGCTAGTGTTTGCTACCAATGACTCTTCTAAAGGCTTTCCTTAGGGACAATGCCAATCTTTCACGCAATGGGTACTGCTGAAGCTTCTGACATCTTGTAAAGAAGACTTTGACAAGCTGTATGGACCTCAGGGGAAAAAAGAAAAAAAAAAGAAAAAAAAAAAAAAAGGAATAGGTGCTATAACAATTTGATCTGACAGGGAAATAGTATTAACTGTTTGAACTTATTTGTATTCTAACAACATCCATCATATTGTTGGCACTGTCCACCCACAGAAGAGAAAACTGCCCTTTTTTAAAGAGTTCACTATCTGAAATCAGTTGAATGTTGCAACACTGCAAAGAAAATGTGAGTTCATAAATAATAAAAAGCATTACATTTATCAGTTCAGTACCTAAATTAGGGTGGAATAACTCTTGAAAGGTCAGAAATTACGGAATCAAGATAAAAGCTCAAGATACATTAACCAGTACATTCTAGCAAGGAAGCACAGATCCTTGTTCTATTAAGACACTGAAATCTTTATTAACAAAGCTGAGGTTTCAATGATGCTGAAAGCAATTAGACAATGAGTTTCCAAGGGAGCTGCACATGTAAATTCCTCTGTCTCATTTGAAAACTCCAGCCAACAGCAGCAATCATGTTTGGTTTAAATCCTCATACCATCATGGGAAACAAATCCATTAGTCTTTCATTCTAGGCAAGAAAGAAGTGCGTGTGAGGGAGCAAACATGGATGGAACATGGATATCTGCAGGTGATTTATGGCATGTGCTGAGCTAATAAAGAAAGCAAGTTCAGAATGACACTGATAGCAGTGAAGACAAATGAGATCCTGGAAGGATGACAGCGATTGTGCAGATTACAAGAAAGCAATCAGAAGTGACAGTCAACCTTCATCCTCTTTGGAGACAAGTAGGCATCCAGCCTGTAAAGAACACCTTACCATCCACTTCTTTTGGTTGAAAGGATTTTTTGGGGTGGGGAACAACACGTGGTTTGCTTTGCCGTGTTCTACAGTTTTTCAAATACAGTCCCTTTGTCCGAATATTCGTAACATATAAATATGCTACTTACTCCCTCATGCGTTTCAGTTTGGTCTCAGCCATAGTGCCGTTGAGAGCTCTGAATCCCTGGGGCAGCCCTGGAGACACTCTGGTGACAGTCCCCGAGCCTATGAATCAATGCACAGACACATAACCTTATTCACCTTCATCCCCTGAGCTCTATTGCAGAGCCAAGGGCAATCAGAAGGAAGACTATTCCTGTTTCTCACAAGGTAATGCCACTTTAATTAAAGATTAATTAGATTATTAAATGCACATTAAGGGAAACTCCTTTCTGAGGGAAAAGTAGATTTATAGCTTAAAGGCACTAGAATTGTAACAACAATTTTCCTTCTGTGTAGCGTACAGGAAATTACATTACCACAGAAAGAACAGTCACTTGAGGAAGTGCTGGGACAGAAAAATACTCAACAAAATGAAAATTGCTTAGACAATATGTATTTTCCTCCATTTTTCTTGAACTTATAAAAGCAAGAATCTTCATCCTAACATGCAATTCTCTACTTTAGCTGTATTTAACTTATGGCATCACTTTCCCCTTCAGATGAAGGTACTCTTTGTATATATGCATATATATATAAAAAAAACCCCATACTTGTATATATATATATGAGAAACACACATATGCCTATACACACATGCACACATTTTCTGTTTACAGGCTTCATGGGCTGTTGCAATGTTTTAGGACCTAATGCTCACAGACCACTTAGCCACAGGAACACAGAAGTCCTGAATCACAGAGGACTCTCAGGGTTGTCAGCTCAAATATCCTGCAGTTACATGTTGCCATTCCATCACACAAATCCCTGCTTTACCAAAGAAATTTATTTATTTATTGCCCTGACTGCTCCCATTGGAAGACAATTCCAGAGCCTCATTATGAGCTGGTGGCTAAAATATCTCCTCTAATTTCCTGACAGAACTTCTTTATTGGTCAGTTCATGCCCATTTTTCTCCTGTGCCAGCCCTTTTCTGTGGCCTACTCTGTCCTTCTCTTCCCTTTTACATATTCCTTTTATTTCTTTATAATTGGAAAAAGAGATCCTATTTCAGCTTTCAATTTGCTCAGCTAAACAAAGCAGCTATTTTAGTTTCTTCTTGCAAAATATTTGACATTAGGATTTCACTTCCCAAAAGATGAGAATACGTATCATGGTGGAACTACACCCTGCGTAAACATGTCGGCTGTGGCACATAGGACCCAAGTTCTGAACAGACATAGGAGGGCTCCGCATAGGACATGAACAAGCCAAAAGTCATACAAACACGTTAACACAGTGCCTTGTCTAAATGAACATGCACTCCCCTCCTAAGCAGGAGTTTTTAGCTTGGACTCAGCTGGCATTTAGTTTGGATTGTGTTAACATTGATCACATACAGCCAGAAGGAGCTTGCAGCTACCTTCCTGCTATGAGCTGTATAGAAACCCCCAGAGAGTGCTGAATGCTTCCCTGGAGTGCGTAATTATGGCTTTCCCAAGTGTTAAGCTTCTATGATTCTAGATCCTCATCACATAAGGCTGAATATTGAGATAAAAACTTTCTATTGTGAGGGATCCTACTGAATTGCTCAAACTAAGTGTCTGCTGGATTCAGAGTTTTGCTGTATTCAGAAGATAGGAAACAGGCATGGAGAGAGACCACAGATGAAATGGAGTCCTGACTCTGTTATCTGACTATGGACAAATTATTTGGCTTTTTAAAACACTTTCTTAACTTCTCTTTACACCTAATGGCTAACAGTTTTCTGGTGCCTAAGTATCACCAACTGAGGTATAGTTAACACATTTTAAAGGATGAAAAATGACAAGCTCCATTCTTACTAGCAACCAGTAAGTGATTTCACCCACTGATGCAAAAAAACATTTCCTGATCATTTACTGTAACACTACACATGCATATCCATACATTTCTACATGGAGTCTGTAAGCACTCAATCACTTTAGCAGCACTGGAAAATTCAGCTATCCTCAAGGCCGGGGGGCTGAGGAAACCCCAAGAGCTGTACAAAGCAATGTTTGTGACTTACTGGGTGGCATGCTCCTCTTTGAGTTGGTATAGAATTAAGGTCCAGTTGTGGGGCTTTGGGGCTTCAAAAGCAATAAAAAATTGACACCCTGAGCACCAATGGTCTAAGGAAGATACAATCTTTGTGTTCTCTTAAGAAAGAGCACATTTAACCACAGGCCTCAGTTAAATTCTGCTATTACTATTATTACAGGATATATCACTGTAGTAAGAGCTCAGCATACTCGTTTTGCTTAGTGGGTTCAACCTATTTATTGCTACAATATCTCCTTCTCCACTGACATTTCATTATTAAAGACATCCTTCTTGTTTTTTTCTGGGATTCCAGGCTAAGTAATTTGTACTTTGCCTACTCTCCACATTTGCAGTTGGCCAAGCAAAACTTATTCTCTAAAAACAAACTAGTATCTATCTTCCTCTCCATTTAATATGATTTTCTGGGTACTACGAGGCAGCTGCAAGGACGACAGTTTGTAGGATGCTGCAAAGGTTTGCTTAGTAAAAAAAAACAAGTTCTCAGTGAAAACTGCCAAAAGCTTTTCACGTTGTTGCTACAAGCCTAAAAAAATTTTCATGTGCTGCTTCATAACCCACACCAACTTCTATACCAGAGATATTTTCTTAGAGGCAGTTACTTGATTAATAATACATTTTGCACCCAGCTTCGAGCTAGGTGCAAAATGTATTATTTTTGCCTACCTATACATCAACACAGAACAAGGAACTATGCTTCTTCAAAAAGTGGCCAGATAACTATTTGCATTTTTCTATGCAATATATCATTCTTGATTCATTAAACAAAATCAAGTGAAACAAGAGCACTGACTTTTCAAAACCAGGTGTTGTGGCTTTCTAAATGTATTTCAGAGACAAATACTCTCTGAGAGTCTAGCCCAGTAGTGCAGAGAACATAGGGAAAAAGGGCAAAAGATCTTTGCTCTCTCAAGTCATGGTGTACCAGTTTGAGGTTCTCACTGCATCCTTCCTT